ATAAAGGTAATACCTATTTCATGTAGTTGCTGTGAGGATTTGTTTAATATTTTTAGAACTCTTTGCATAAATCAAGTGCTCAGTAGATTTAGTGTTTGTTATTTGCACGGACAGCTTTCAGGCGCTTCAGTGAGGGAACTTCCCATATTCTTTCATGACCACCTCATAGGACTTCTTATTTGGTGTAGACACTCCGACAAGGCATCTTTCTCTTCAGAAAGGTCTGTGTTACTCTGTACTTTCTGCAGTTCTAGAAAAGTTTTAGAATCAACTTTGCAAATCTCAAAAAATGGTTTATGAATTTAATTAGCATTTATTTAATCTAGAAATTGAATTAAAATTTAATGTTATAGAATGGGAGTGTTCATGAATGCTGTTTCCATTTATTTAGGTTATGTTTGCTTTTTTATCATAATGTTTGTTTTAAATTTTAAAAATTGTATTTAAAAATCTCAATCTTGGGCTGGTGAGATGTTTCAGTGGGTAAAGGCACTTGCCACCAAAGGTGGTAGACATGACCTGAGTTTGACCCTGAGACTCACATGGTAGAAGGAGAAAACCAGCTTCTGCAAATTGTCCTGCAAATGGTAAGTTTCCCACATATGTACAATGCAGCCATTAGCATTAAAATGCTAATGTAAGGAAACTGGCACTGATATATTAACATCACCTGATCCACTGACTCTCACCTTCACCAGGTGACCCAGTGATGTCCTTAATACCAAGGGAATATAAGTTAGCATCACTTGGTATGCCTGTGACTAGACACACACGTGCGCACACACACACACACAAACCCCTACCTCATACATTTTATTCTGACATTTTCCATCAGAATTTTTTTGTTGATTCTCTCCTCTTCTCCCTCCTCTATGTGTGAGTGTAGGCAGGATTGTGGCCACAGCATGCCCATTGCACTCGCAAGACAGATTGCAGGAGTTGGTTCTCTCCTATCATGGGCTTCAGGGACCAAACCAGGTCATTGGGCTGGCATGACAAGTTTACTCATGAACCACTCATTGGCCACCTAGTTCTAGGCAAAAATGTCAAAAACATACACTGAAAAATGACAGGCTGTTCAATAAATTGTGTTGACAAAATGAGATATCCACTGTCGAAGAGTGAAAGTAGATCCACATCTCCTAACCTGTACAGAATCAGTTCAAAGTGAATCAAAAACCTTAATTTAAAAACTTGGCCTTTTTACTTAACAGTCTATTCTAATAATTCCTAGCCATTTAAAAATATATACCTACATAGTTCTCTATGATTTATCCAGCCACTTTACTCTGGAGTATTGAGAATGCCTTCAGTATTTGCGGAAATATTTGAGTCTATAGTGAATAATCTACCTGGGATTCCGAAGGCTTCTGAAATCTGATGCCTTTCATCAATTTTTGAAAATTCTCAGCCAGGTAGTGTCACCAGCAATGAGCAGTACAACTTGAAATTACCAGCCATGACCCCTGAGGTCGGATGAGGGTGTCCTTTAGGAACCTCTGCCAAGTCAGGTCAAGATCTTGATTCAAGTCAACAGAAAGCAAAGCTGGGGTTTATTACAAAACAGGCAGCACGCTTGTGTGGGTGTGTGGGTGTGTGTGTGCATGTGTGTGTGTTTGGGGGGTACTGTACAAACTTAAGAGGAAGTTCAGACTTCTTGAGAGAAATGAGGTAAAGTTTCTTAGCAGCTGTGTGTTATGACTTTTGTAGGTTTTGAACTGTAGCTATGTTTAAAAGATTAAACCTTTTTGGTATATTTTTTAACTATGGAAAAGGAAAACATGTAAAGTGATTTATGAGGTGCCTTATAGGGGCTTACAGATGAGGTGTGCTGATTATATAAAAGTACAGGTCAAGAAAGGTCAGGAATTCTTACGACATATGGGTCATAGGCGATAAGGCATCTTGAGTGTCAGCATGATTTGTAATTTCGTAATTGTGGTAAGATTTCGTCAGAAAAACTCATACAGTATGTGGTTACTAGGAGTCATGACGTGTGTTTTGACTGTAAACATGTTTCATAATCTTGTTCATGAGATTTTTCTTAGCAAATAGGGGTATCTTGTCCTTTGCAGGTGCTATCAAAATTTTTGACACTCGGTGAGCTAAGAATGCACCCAAGCCCCCTGGGAATGATGGAATGATGGCTCTTTTCCTTGCCCATGTCCCTGTTTCTCTCTTTCCTCAGTGGCCTTTTACATCTATTCTGTCTCCCCCATTTTTCCAGTCATAGCACATTACATTTTCTTATCTTTTTTTTTAACTCTTTTATTTGTACTTTAAATTGTGTGTGTGTGTGTGTGTGTGTGTGTGTGTGTGCACGTGTGCGTGCATGCGCCGTGTACCACCAGGTTCTTAATTTTGACTATTATATATATTTAACATTTACTGTAATTTGAGAATTCATTTTGGTTATTTGAAAAATAAAATGAGTAGCCAAATAGATGGTTCAGCATTTCTTGAATTTAATCCTTAGAACACAGGAAAGGCAGAGCAAATTGACTACAAAATTCTCCTCTAACTTCCATGCTGGTCATACAATAATACAATAAAAAATAAATAAAATTTTAAAATACTGCTTGGTTATAAACTAATCTGGAGTTCCTGTTAGTCTTGGTGTTCAGTTGTGTGTGGGTTCATTTGCAGAAGTACCTTCATATATATATTTGATTGTATTTACATGTATGCCGGACTATATTTAAAAAAATTGTTTATAGAAATAGAAGTCAGTACCGGGCAGTGATGCCACACACCTTTAATTCCAGCACTCAGGAGGCAGAGACAGGTGGATCTCTGAGTTCAATACCAGCCTGGTCTACAGAGTGAGTTCCAGGACAGCCAGGGCTACACAGAGAAACTCCATCCCAGAAAAGGAAGGAAGGGAGGGAGGGAGGGAGGGAGGGAGGGAGGGAGAGAGGGAGGAAGGAAGGAAAAAGTCAGTAACCTGTAGAGGAGATCTTTCACCCACTTCGCTAGCCAGAGTCACTAATTAATATGCAGGGCCTCTTTAGTCTACTTCAGGTATTAAGATCTTCCAGGCCCACACAGATGACCAAGCAGTTATTTTAATTCTGATTTATCCTTAGTTCCACAATGAAGTCATTTTGAGATCCCAATCAAGACATAACCTAATTTATCAAAGTCCCTTTGGCTTATGCAATGGTTCTCAACCTTCCTAATACTGTGACCCTTTAATACAGTTCTTTATGTGGTATCCCCCAACCATAAAATTATTTTCATTGCTACTTTATAACCGTAATTTTGCTTTTGTTATGAATCATCCTCCAATGGTCTTAGGTGCCCTCTGGGAGTCATTCAACCCCCAAAGGGGTCACACCACACAGGTTGAGAACCACTGTGCTAGTGGGCCCTGGTCTTCAATTTTTCTCTTAAAAAGACTTTTAGGTACAGTCTTATATTTCACCAGAAAATAGAGTTCCCAAATACCCTTGGCACACACACTGACAAATCTTAAGTGCGTCATCCAGTACACAACTCCTCCTAAGGAATTTATAATACTGCCAGGCAAAGAACATTCCTAAATACTAGTCCTCTCCTCCAGATGTTTGCCCTTTACAAGATACTGATTCTTTACTACTTTGGTTTATGGTAACTTTCTTCTGTCTTTGTCTGTCTGTCTTTCCTCTTTTCTGTCTTTCTGTCTTTTTTTTCTTTTAGTTTTTGTTTGTTTGGTTGGTTTGGTTTGTTTTGTTTGTGACAGGGTTTCTCCATATATCTCTGGCTGTTCTGGAACTCCCTCTGTAGGTCAGGCTGGCCCCAAACTCAGAGATCTGCCTGCCTCTGCCCCCTGACAGGGTGCTGGGATTAAAGGCGTGCGCCACCACCACCTAGCTGGCTGGCTTTCTTTCTTCCTTCCGTTTTTTTTTTTT